TCTCCGGTGGGCCAAGCATGTAGGAGAGCTGCATGGGGCACACAAAAACACTAATGGCTCTATCTAGAGCCAGAGTTTGGTTTGTCCATTCTGGGCTACTGTAAATAACAACTTGGTAGATTCTGTGGAGGAGGACCCGCTTTGTATGAAGATGTAAATGGCTCATTCTAAGGTAACAAAAACACAATAATTATTTTTCAGGAGACAACACACTAAACCAAATTATAAATATTAGATTTCTGCCAATATATCTGCATAAATCTTACACACTTTGAAGGAGCATATCTATGATTCAGATGTTGTCAGCACACAGCTCTCAACTTGAAGGTGGCTGAGCCAGCAATGAGCAGCTAATGGTGCTAACTGCTTGAACAGCGCTCACAACATCACCAGCGCTGATAGAGCTAATGGTGTTAACTGGGGGGAACCAGAGACTGGGCGTTATATTTCTGTGATGACACTGTCGTGATGTCAGGGGTAACCACCGTAGCAGCGCAGTAAGGAGCGACAGTGTTTGGCTAGCCAGTGGGACATAGGACTCACATGAACTAACAAGCATAAGACAAACTGTCTATCACAACACTGAACAGAGAAGCTCGGATTACAATATGCACAGAGGTAGCGTGAATTCATTCTCAGCATTACTCCACTACATCCAATCTGGATCAATCCAATACTTTTAATATTGAGCGGGGACACGAGTGGCCCCTCCCAATGTGGACTTTGTTGAAATCTCATCAGCTCAGTCATTTTTCTGATCTTGAAGAGTTTCCATTACGTTTTTGTGTAAACATAATTGGTGGAAATGGCAAAAAGAAAGAAAAAAGTGATGTAAAAGAAATACGTGTATGATGCAGTGAAATGCGCCAAAATGATAAATCTATTCTGTGGTAGAAGGCCAAGGTTGCTGTAGCCACTGTTAGCAAGGCCACTGATTACTGTTGGTCTGCGCTGATGCTTTCTGTTGATGTGATATAGGACAATCTCCATTTGTTTTGTACTCTTTAGCCTAAACAAAGTTTTGGCTTTGAAATATGAATCTCTTATTTATAAATTCAAACTATAAATACAAATTTGAAGATTGTAAAGGCATCATGAAAAGGTGGCAGTGAGCACATGTCAACAGCACTCGGGTGCTACTTATCGCCACTTTCCCTTTTATATCTTCCTGAAATGATGAATGAAAGGCTTGTAGTAACAAGGCAGGGTCCTGGACATTTGGTTTTCATCTAAAAACAAAGGCTTGGCTTTCAGAAGTTCAAAACCTTGTCCAAAAATCCTATGAAATGATGATCTAAGTGTTACTGGAAAAAGAATAGGGGGCGTACTGTTTAAACAGGGAAATACTGTTCTGATTTGATATTCTAATGGTACGATCAGTTTATTAAAGGAATAGTGCACCCAAAAATGAAAATTCAGCCATTATCTACTCACCCATATGCTGATGGAGGCCCTGGTGAAGTTTTAGAGTCCTCACATCCCTTGCGGAGATCGGCGGGGGGAGCGGCTAGCACACCTAATGGCATACGGCACCCCAGACTAACGTCCAAGAACACAAAATTAAATCCACAAAGTATCTCCATACTGCTCATCCATAGTGATCCAAGTGTCCTGAAGCCCCAACATAAAAAGTTGTTGTGAAAAACGTCATATGAACTCTGTTTTTAGCCTCACTGTAGCCTGTAGCTCTGACTGCTTCTCTGTGCTCCGCGATCACGTGTGCGCGCTCAGGGTGATCGGTGATCTCTGAAGAGCAGCAGTCTCATCAGTACTGATGTCCAGATTCTCAAGTGCAGGCATCGTCAATTCCCAGTCTGAGCAGCAAAGACTTTCCTCATCCGTTGGCATTGCTTTGCATTTGAAACAACTAAACCACCAGGTTTCCAGTGCTCAACTCCGGTATTCTGCGGCTGGCTGAGGGTCAGGCTCATGAGCTGCGGCAGCTGCCTCATCCAGTAGTCTGAGTTCCGTCTGAATACTCGGGCTCAAACAAATACGGCTCAACAAAGAAATGCTGTTCCTCCTCAATTTCAAAGTCTTCAGACAAGTTGGGCTGTCCTTTGCTAAAAGACCGTAGTGCAAATGATCTTTTAGCTCTGTGGTTACGTTGTCTCTCCCTGTGGTGCACGTGTCACGTGATGTAAACACAGATGAGCAAAGCTTTCGCTGGTCTCGCACAGGCGCGCACACATGAACACAGAGCACAGAGAAGCAGTCAGAGCTACAGGCTACAGTGAGGCTAAAAACAGAGTTCATATGATGAATGATTTTCGAAACAACTTTTTATGTCAGGGCTTCAGGACACTTGGATCACTACAGATGAGCATGTTGGAGATATGGATTCAATTTTGTGTTCTTGGACGTTAGTCTGGGGCGCCGTCTGCCATTAGGTGTATTAGTCGCTCCCCCCGCCGATCTCCGCAAGGGATGTGAGGACTCTGACTGAAAAGGTGCACCAATTAAAAGAATCAAAAAATTTTTTCATCAAAAAATTAATCCAACTTTTGAGTATTATCATGCAAAGGCCATTGCTGACTGTATGCTAACTTTGTTCGTCAAGTGTACTGCAGTTCTTACACCACATGCAATGTTTTCTTCCTGCACCACCTTGTTGGGTATTCTTGTTTTGGTTACATAGTTGGCTACAAAATGAAAGTGTCCCCCAGCTTTTCAGTGTATTTTTCATCACCAGCTCCTGGAGTATAACATGCCTCCCAGCGTAGAAGGACAATGGGCACTGTCATGTGTCCAGGTGGACTTTGCAAACTTTTAAGGCCTTTTTCTCAAAATTATGGCTCCGTGACTGTCAGCATGTTATGTGACATATTTTGGTTAATATTTGCAGTACAAAAACAATAGTGACATCTTTAGGAATCTTAGAATTGCCTCTTCCAAATAAACTTGGATGATTATTTTTTTCACAAGGGTGATGGTGTACCCCCTTGTCCCTCCTCAATTAATGTACTGCATGTAGATATAAAACAGTATGTTATATATAAGATGACTAAATATGATAGCATTTCTCAGTATCTATTGTTATTGTTGATTTCATGGTAATTTAGGGATGAAATTCACTGTTGGGGCAAACAGCTGAAGCATGCATTAGTAGAAGACAGAGTAGACGTGGCTGAAAAAATGAGGAAAGGCAGAGAGAAATAAAGCAGCAAGAGGCAGGTTTGATGATGTGGGGGAAGGAGTGCTGCAGACAGACTGACTAAGAGGGAGAGCTGATGAGACTTCCAGATGTACAGTATGCCGTCTTGTTGCTGCCAACATGCTTTCTGTCTCTCATTCTTTCCTCTGGTGGAATTGCTTGGGGGTTGCAGCTAAGAAATCATCACACAGCATTCTCCATAGCCAGCATATAAACAAGACCTGCAAATCTGATGAAGCAGATTAGGAAAGTTTTGAAAGATGAAAAGGAGAGCTGGTAAAGTGATTTTCCAGATTTGCAACTCATTATGAAACTGTATCCACTTACATTATACTCAACAATGGGGCTGTGTTGCTTTTAGGTGGAGTCAAGTGTTGCTGTTATTCTTGTGATGTCTTTTCTCCCACTGCATCAAATTAAGATGGAGTTTAAACTCTGAACATTTCCCTTATAGCATGTAAATGAGGATGCCTGTGAATGTAGGTTCAACAGTCTGTTAACTCACTCATCCTGCTTCCTGGAACCTTGATTGACCAATGCTTCACTGTGTGTTGGTTGGTTTGTGGTTATTTGACTATGTGCAAATTCTGTTTGGGATAATGCATCACAAAATCACAACATACACAGAACTGATAACGATCCTTCAAGGGTTATTAGGTGAATTAAAACCAGTCTTGAGCCTTTGTCAGGATAATTGGCAGTAAATGTAGCTAAGGCTAGATAGCTTGCAGTTTTTTTTCACCAGGGGTCTCCTGTCTGACTAGCATTTTTCCAAGGCTCTATCTGAAA